ATATATACTACAAAGTTTTGGGGTTGGCAAAGTTAGGAAATAGGGGGTATCATTAATTAACTAAGTGTCACGAAGACAAACAAGGATAGCCACAAAACTTATAAGCAATAGGACTTACAGGAAATGACAGATGAAGTGGCTTTGACTAATAAGTAATCAGTAAGTCGATACATAATTACCTAACAAAAGTTCATTTAAACTATCAGGTAGCTGCAACATCTTAGATGTTCTATTGTTAACTTAAAAAAAAAGTTTTAGACAGGCACGTTTTAAGAGGATGGAAAGCTGAATCCTCTCATGTCCCGAAATACTTTAAGGAACTGTTATTTTTCTTATTCTTATCAAATCAATCCTTCATTGCTGTGTGTTCTTTTTTTCGTATTCTTTTTTAAACCACTTTTCTAATGAAAAATCTGTCTGATTCGTGAATTGAAATATACAATATTTTACTGTAAGTTGAATTTGGAATTTTTGTATTATTAGGTGTACTACTTAAATTGAAACCAAAGATGAAAGACACGCTTATGCAAAACAAAAAGTAATTTAAGGAAAATTATGTACAGAGCAAAGCTTATTTTACTCCACAAATCATTATGATATGCTATGTAATTAAACTAAAATTACTTGATCAAAATTGAGACTTTCATACACAACCTCTCACGTTTCACGTGAATGCAAATGTGAACAGACAATAAAGGTTTGGGAATTGGAGTGGAGTCACATCGAATTTCATGTAGCAGAGAAGACATTATACCTGTTGTTGGTTTTCACGTTGAATCTTCAATCTTGCCTCAATGCACTGTCTGGTTTCTAGAAATGCTTTTCGCTGGGCTATTTCTCTCGGATAGTGCGTACATGTGCCGGCAATGTTTGTACATAACAAAACAATAGAACTGCTCCAAATCTGAAACAATATTTACCCACACTTGAGATAAATTCAGTAATATTAACCTCATACGTATTTTCATTGTGTTTTATTTCAAGAGGATCTTTGAATGGATTGAGCTGCTTTCCAGTATTATGAAGAAAATTGCACTTGTAATAGTCTTGTGATTTTGGAAAAACACTTACACACCAAAAAGGCCCCAAACAAAGGTTAAGCCAGGACAATAGTCTACAATAACAGTAACAAAAACAGTCCTCCCTAATAAAAATAGATTAGATATTTTTGTTATCTTTACAACGAGCTATTCCAAACAATCTGATACACTTAATTAATGAAAAAATGCCGGGTCTGTCATTATAATCCAGTCTACTTTTTGAAATTACTTACTTTATTACAAATTTAGCACAGAAATAACTCATATAAAGTTGTTATTAAATGTATTTAATTGATATTAATCTCATGGATGGTTTTGTAGCTACAACCAACTTCGATAATGATATTAATAATGAATGATGATAAATTTATTAAATAAATAATCTCAACGTGTTCCTTTATTCATTCTCAAGAAGAAAACTGGAGAAAACGAAGTTTGCAGGACCAAGACTAAGACGACGATAGGGAGAAAATAAGAAGAGGATAAAAGGACTATCTAATACACTTAAATTACGATGTTATGATACAGCAATCAAAATAATTAATATGTAACGATATTGTGCATTTCTTTAACATCTGTATTTATGTATACAATTCACTGAAATTGCTCCAAATGTCATTTCTTCCTTTCCTTCTTTTTTTTAAATATTGCAAATTCATAGTCCTCCTCAAGCTAAATGTCGATACCCTTTACATAACATTTGTCGAAAAGTTAACTTCAAGTTTAACAAATATACAAGCATGCATCCATACGGCAAAAAAATTACAATCTGCCATGAATTACCTAAAGGTATCATTAATGAATATTTTATTTGAGAAGTGTACTGTTAATGTAGCGAAATTATTTGTCTAAATGAAGCTTTTGCAGTACGATGGGATTCTACTGCAAACTTCGTAACCAAAACAAACTGTTTTAATTAGAGAACTATTCAAAATTATTAAATAGCTTCATAATATTTTTAATTCCGAAGCTCATAACGATATTATAGTAACAATGAATATTTAAACAATTTAAATGTACAAACACAAAACAATTCCATTTGTGTAATTTTCTAATTGCGGTTTCCTTTCTTCATCATTAAAATACACATACATGGAAATATAGTATAAAATTTCGTTGATGCTGCAGAAAATATGTAGTTTCGCTCATGTTAAAGATCTCCAAAATTAATGTAACAATCAATAGACTAATTCAATCAAAATGGCGGGTTACAAATTGAAAGCTTTATTCAGTTGAAACGCAACGCTAAGTAAACAAGAACAGAACTGCTTACGTTTGCTAGGTCTTAATATAGCAGGAAAGTTATGTATAATACATTATCGAAAATAATGAAAAGTATCTACCCTACCTATCTATAGCCGACTGTAACTGAACAAAGTTATTAAGGGAATTCAATGTAGAAACTGGATTTTATACCTAGTTGTAGGGGTGAACCCAATATTTATCTACGCATATAGGTAACGGTGTTTTAATGTTAACAATCTTTTACTGGATTTTCACGGCATTGTACGGGTGCGAAACATGGACAGTGGGCGCGGCGGAAAAGAAAAGGTCATATGCGTTCGAAATGTGGTGTTATAGGCGGATGATGAGGATATCGTGGGTAGAAAAGGTTAGAAATGAAGAGGTATTGGAAAGAATAGGAGAACAGAGGACTCTATGGAAGT